ATCAAAAATGTACCCACATCACTGTTTTCAGATAGCACTTTAGGCAGAAGGGTTTTTCTGAGTGCACAGCGTAAGTGTGTACAAAGTTCATGTTTACATTCCGAATGGCAGAATCTCCAAGCATAAAACACTGTGACCTTGGTTGAGGCGCTACATATGTCAGCGGCTTTGCTTCTTCAAGCAGAGAAGCATAACGATTTGAAGTCTTTAAAACATTGTGTCGCAGCAAAATTCCACTCCCATTTTAATTCTTAGCTTTTTCAACTTTGGGTTTAGCCTCGCTTTTGATCCAAAGGTATATTTGGATATTTCGTCATCATCGTAACTTACATTTTCTGCAGTCTGTCCACTTATCCCATTTTCACACATTGGAAGAGTCCGGTTAACTCCCATTTCTGTTATCAAAATATCCATCCGTTTTTGAAGACATTTGAGCTGATTTTCCAGCGAGCAGCAGCCATCACAGACTTTTCTCTGTTTCTTCCGTCCGGACATGACTAATGTTTAAATAAAAACTGTTGGGTAAATAAATAGATTGAATTGAGTTATTTACACTTTGACATTTGAAGAAACTGATGCTTAAAGTAGTAAGTAAGTAGTAGTAGTAAGTAAGCTTTATTTATATACCGCCTTTCACAGACCAGAGTCACAAAGCGGTTTACAATTGTTATTTTTTGGGCACTTGTCTCTCACTCCACACAGAGATGGGAGCGGGGTCGCCGAACAGGAGGCGCATGCCAGACCTATTGTACATATTTTTAGTGGTAGGGGAAACCGGAGTACCCGGAGGAAACCTACGCAGACACAGGGAGAACATGCAAACTCCACTCAGAAAGGCCCTGGTCCGGCCGGGATTCGAACCCAGGACCTTCTTGCTGAGAGGCGAGAGTGCTATCCACTCAGCCACCGTGCCGCCCAAACGGCGGCACTAGTTACTTACTAGTGAAAGTCATAAAACATATTTATGATAAAATGTAAATGGAAGATTAATCCACTGATTCAAAAGAGATGTTGTCTTTTGTCTGAGTAGGATTCCTCCTGGTGCTCCGGTTTCCTCTACCCTCAGAATACGTTGGTGTGAGTGAATGGTCTGTGGTGACTGGATGATCCGCGTTACTTTACTGTCATGTTTCACTTATTCATTTATTGGAAACTTATGTTTGGGTTAGACCTAAATCTACTGTAGAAGAAAAGTCCCTTCAGATCCCAAAGTGAGGACATGGAGAGATAGGTTCAGATCCCAGAGTGAGGACATGGAGAGATAGGTTCAGATCCCAGAGTGAGGACATGGAGAGATAGGTTCAGCTCCCAGAGTGAGGACATGGAAAGATAGGTTCAGATCCCAGAGTGAGGACATGGAGAGATAGGTTCAGATCCCAGAGTGAGGACATGGAGAGATAGGTTCAGATCCCAGAGTGAGGACATGGAGAGATAGGTTCAGATCCCAGAGTGAGGACATGGAGAGACTGGAGCCTCAGAAACACTGTTTGTCTGTGTTTGTCTCTTCATCCAGAAACTAATGGGACATTCCACATTCCACAACTCTGTTCACCAGGAGTTAGAGTTAGAGTTAGAGTTAGTTAGAGTTAGATAGAGTTAGGAGTTAGGGTTAGAGATAAAGTTAGAGTTAGAGATATAGGTAGAGATAGTTAGAGATAGAGTTAGAGTTAGTTAGAGATAGAGTTAAAGTTAGTTAGAGTTAGTTAGAGTTAGAGAGAGTTAGAGTTAGAGTTAGGGTTAGAGTTAGAGATAGAGTTAGAGATAGAGATAGAGATAGAGATAGAGTTAGAGATAGAGATAGAGTTAGTTAGAGTTAGAGTTAGAGTTAGGGTTAGGGTTAGAGATAGAGTTAGTTAGAGTTAGAGGGTTAGTGTTAGGGTTAGGGTTAGAGTTAGAGATAGAGTTAGAGTTAGTTAAAGTTAGAGTTAGGGTTAGGGTTAGAGATAGAGTTAGTTAGAGTTAGGGTTAGGTACCCGTGTCTTTGTAGGTGTCCTCCGGGTGCTCCAGTTTCCATGTGTGGTCTGAATGTAGTGAGTGACCATGCTGTGTAAACTGTGCTATATAGATAAATATGACTCAGTGTGTTCAAAGCATCTTATTGTACAAACCTATAAATATGTTTATTATATGACTTGGATCGTACGTGCGCTCTGATTGGCTGATTTGCGGTCTGATATTTTCCCATCTCGGACTGTTACCATGACAATCGGTCCGCAGCCCGTATCAGATTTGATATCTTTCCTCGGTAAAAAAGAAATAATGAGCGACTGGGAGCATTCTCAGTGAATTCTATCATCAGGACAAGTTGGAAGAGCCAGAGGAAGTAACAACAGCAAATAACGACAATAACACAACTCCAACAGTCAAGAAGAGATCGACAACTTGGTTACAGACCAGAAAGGTAAAACCAGGAGCAGGAAAACCAAGTGGGACATGAACATCACAGATATGTAAAAAGCATTGGTAAAGACACAGACTGAGAACTTACAGCGGGCGCCTCAATCCTCTGTTCTTCATGTCACAGTTTGGTCAAATGTGTTTTTAGTTGAAACTGATCGATATTTGCATAAATTAAAAATAGTCATATAATAAAACATTTATCAACCTCGCTTGCTCGGTCTGTACCTTGGTCTTTGTGCACAGACCTCGCCACGGCTAAATATATATAATTATTTTTTACATTCAGGGGATTCTCTTTGATCTTTATGGACCTTGTTTTTATCTGAGCCTAAAAGAATACATGTGATAAAAAACAGTTTCAGTTTGACTCAGATACAAAACAAACCTCGACTTTTCACACGAGTCTTTTCTAAACTGAGATTTAAAGAGAAAGAAGAAAGAACATGAAGATTTTCACCAAAGGAAACTTCGAATCAAAGGAATATTTATTCATAAATGATGTTAAAACAGTTTTCGACACAGAATTGTTTTTTAAAGTAGCAGAGAATCATCAGTCTCTGTTTCAGAGACAGTTATGAAAAAGTAAATAATCTTCACATTCTGCCTTAAAAACCCAAAACCCACGAGACAAAGGAAAAGGGTCATGTTTTAAAAAGATACAGAAATGTCTCTATGAAAAGAGGAAATAAAGCAACATTTAATAAATAATAAATAGTTATTATATTATATAATTATAATAAATAATAAGGCTGTAATTCTTTAATTATAATATTGAGGTAATTGACATAGTGAGTTACACATTCAATCTGGAAAAGTCTGGTTTAATGAACAGACGAATTAGAACGATGTAGAAGAATTGTTGGACTCTGGAATGATGTGAAATCTGAGGTGATGTCACAAAGAGACAGGGAGGAGGAGGGTGACTGCACGAGCTGAAGCTGAGGGTGAAAAGACGTGAGGCTTGAATGCAGCCAGTTAAATCTGATTCATGTGTTCATGGTGTGTAAGAACCATATATTCTGGACCATAAGCTGTGGCTTCATTTTATTTCTGTTTTTTTTTGGGTCAAAAACATTTTTCCAAGTCGCTGAACCACGGATCGATGTTGTTCTACAGAAGTCAGATTAAATTTAATAAATGTCATTTGAACTTTACAAAAAAAACGTACGGTTTATTTAAAGATTACAGTTTTAAAAAATGAATAAAGTGTTTTGGATCGAATTTAAAAGTCCTCACTTATATTATCTTTGTGTGACTATAATACTTTGTGTTTTGGTTATTTGTACAGATATGAAAGTGAAAGTGAAAGTGAAAGTGAGAGGTGGATGTTTGGAGCATTAAGAGTCTGTAAAAGATGTTATGCTTGTGTTAGTGAACTGTACACTGCTGTGTAAATACATACACAGTAAATAGGACGAACCATGGGGAGGCAGCGTTTAGATTCATACAGATAACATCTGGAACAGTCTTACTGAAAATGTGAGACAGGCTTCTACTCTGACCATTTTAATCTGTTTATCTGTGCATATGTGTGTTGTTTCCATCTTTGAGTTGCCGTGTGAATGAGTCTGGTGTGTGTGTGAATGGTTGGTGGTGGTGGGAGGGGCTTCTGTCAGTGTGCCCCAGGGCAGCTGTGGCTACAGTAGTAGTTTATCACCACCGTGTTTGGAGAGAAAGAATAATGATGTGAAGAGACTTTGAGTGTCCAGAAAAGAACTCTTTAAATCTGATTTATTATTATTATCATTATTATTATTATTGTATGTGAACTGTGCTATACAAATAATATTGCCTTGCCAACTGCAGTCTGAACCTCATCTACCATTAAATGATCTTTTTCAGGATAGGTCTAGTTTTGATCATTTCCGGTGTGTTTCTCAACCTTGGAGCTCGTGCCAATGTTTGTTACGAGCCTTGGATCGGTTAACCGTGTTCGACATGTCCCTGCATCTGTTCCTGCACCTTTAACGCAGACTCAGCAGAATCAGAAACAGCAGCATCATCATCAGAGAAACCAGAGCACGTCATTGCTGTAGACAAATACAACCTCAGTCTCCAATTAACCACAATCCACCGGGAGGCGATCCACCGGGAGGGGAGACTGACCCATCGGTTCCCACATACGCGCAGCTCTCTCCTCTCTCTCTCTCCTCTCTCTAGTCTCTCTCATCTCTCTCATCTCTCTCCTCTCTCTCCTCGCTCCTCTCTCCTCTCTCCTCTCTCCTCTCTCCTCTCTCCTCTCTCTCTCTCTCTCTCTAGTCTCTCTCATCTCTCTCCTCTCTCTCCTCTCTCTCCTCGCTCCTCTCTCCTCTCTCCTCTCTCCTCTCTCTCTCTCCTCTCTCTAGTCTCTCTCATCTCTCTCATCTCTCTCCTCTCTCTCCTCTCTCTCCTCCATCCTCTCTCTCTCCTCGCTCCTCTCTCCCCTCTCTCTCTCTCCTCTCCCCCCTCTCTCTCCTCTCCCCGGGGGACCATGCACTCTGCAGCGGGCTAAAGGAGCAGAAGGAGCAGAAGGAGCGCCCTGTCACGGGCTCCGAGACTTGTGCTGCTGCAGTCCGCATCGTTACGGGACGTTACGGGACTTTACGGGATTTTTTTTTTTTATGAATGAACTGGAGCTGAAGCCACGAAGCTTCATCCGCGACATGGACATTCTGCTCAGCGTGAGTGTAGACATGTAGAGACCTGTAGAGACATGTGGAGACTATAGAGACATGTAGAGACCTGTAGAGACATGTGGAGACTATAGAGACATGTAGAGACCTGTAGAGACATGTGGAGACTATAGAGACATGTAGAGACCTGTAGAGACATGTGGAGACTATAGAGACATGTAGAGACCTGTAGAGACCTGTAGAGACCTGTAGAGACCTGTAGAGACCTGTAGAGACATGTAGAGACATGTAGAGACCTGTAGAGACCTATAGAGACATGTAGAGACCTGTAGAGACCTGTAGAGACCTGTAGAGACCTGTAGAGACATGTAGAGACATGTAGAGACCTGTAGAGACCTGTAGAGACCTGTAGAGACCTGTAGAGACCTGTAGAGACCTGTAGAGACCTGTAGAGACATGTAGAGACCTGTAGAGACATGTAGAGACATGTAGAGACCTGTAGAGACCTGTAGAGACATGTAGAGACATGTAGAGACATGTAGAGACCTGTAGTGACATGTAGAGACCTGTAGAGACATGTAGAGACATGTAGAGACCTGTAGAGGCCTGTAGAGACCTGTAGAGACATGTAGAGACATGTAGAGACCTGTAGAGACCTGTAGAGACCTGTAGAGGCCTGTAGAGACCTGTAGAGACCTGTAGAGACCTGTAGAGACATGTAGAGACATGTAGAGACCTGTAGTGACATGTAGAGACCTGTAGAGACATGTAGAGACATGTAGAGACCTGTAGAGACATGTAGAGACATGTAGAGACCTGTAGAGACATGTAGAGACCTGTAGAGACATGTAGAGACATGTAGAGACCTGTAGAGACCTGTAGAGACCTGTAGAGACCTGTAGAGACCTGTAGAGACATGTAGAGACCTGTAGAGACCTGTAGAGACATGTAGAGACCTGTAGAGACATGTAGAGACATGTAGAGACCTGTAGAGACCTGTAGAGACATGTAGAGACCTGTAGAGACATGTAGAGACATGTAGAGACATGTAGAGACATGTAGAGACCTGTAGTGACATGTAGAGACCTGTAGAGACATGTAGAGACCTGTAGAGGCCTGTAGAGACCTGTAGAGACATGTAGAGACCTGTAGAGACCTGTAGAGACCTGTAGAGACCTGTAGTGACATGTAGTGACATGTAGAGACCTGTAGAGACCTGTAGAGACCTGTAGAGACCTGTAGAGACCTGTAGAGACATGTAGAGACCTGTAGAGACCTGTAGAGACATGTAGAGACATGTAGAGACCTGTAGAGACATGTAGAGACCTGTAGAGACATGTAGAGACCTGTAGAGACATGTAGAGACCTGTAGAGACATGTAGAGACATGTAGAGACATGTAGAGGCCTGTAGAGACCTGTAGAGACCTGTAGAGACCTGTAGAGACCTGTAGAGACATGTAGAGACATGTAGAGACATGTAGAGACAGTCACATCCAATACATGTGTGTGTGAGCGCGAGGACGTCTGTGTTGGGACCAACGCAAGTGTACGTGCTCAGGCGTCAGGACAGAAGCACAGGTGTTAGGACAGATGCACCGGTGTGATGCACAGGTGTTAGGACAGATGCACAGGTGTTAGGACAGAAGCACAGGTGTTAGGACAGATGCACAGGTGTTAGGACAGATGCACAGGTGTTAGGACAGAAGCACAGGTGTTAGGACAGATGCACAGGTGTTAGGACAGAAGCACAGGTGTTAGGACAGATGTACAGGTGTTAGAACAGATGCACAGGTGTTAGGACAGAAGCACAGGTGTTAGGACAGATGTACAGGTGTTTGGACCGATGCACAGGTGTTAGAACAGATGCACAAGTGTTAGGACAGAAGCACAGGTGTTAGGACAGATGTACAGGTGTTAGAACAGATGTACAGGTGTTAGAACAGATGCACAGGTGTTAGGACAGATGTACAGGTGTTAGGACAGATGCACAGGTGTTAGGACAGATGCACCGGTGTGATGCACAGGTGTTAGGACAGATGCACAGGTGTTAGGACAGAAGCACAGGTGTTAGGACAGATGTACAGGTGTTAGAACAGATGTACAGGTGTTAGGACAGAAGCACAGGTGTTAGGACAGATGTACAGGTGTTAGAACAGATGCACAGGTGTTAGGACAGAAGCACAGGTGTTAGGACAGATGTACAGGTGTTAGGACAGATGCACAGGTGTTAGAACAGATGCACAGGTGTTAGGACAGAAGCACAGGTGTTAGGACAGAAGCACAGGTGTTAGGACAGATGTACAGGTGTTAGGACAGATGTACAGGTGTTAGGACAGATGCACAGGTGTTAGGACAGAAGTACTCTGGCAGAAAGAAGGGCCAGTATTCATCCATTAGGTGGCGCTATATTTATTTCGTCAAGAGTAAATCAGAGATAAGCAAAATAACAATGATAAACACCATAAATGACAATAAATCAAAGTGAACACACAATAAACTGTACATATGTGCAATAGAACTTATGTTGTGTGTCTTTGTGTATTTGGGCGCGCATGTATGTGCGTTTATGCACGCGTTTGTGTGTGTTTGTGTGGTTACATCTACAGAGTGTCGTTCTGTTTAGTCCAGCGAGCGCTGGGACCATAACTGGACTTTACCACTGGCTCCTGGTGCGGACTCAGTGATAGTTTTAGCAATAGTCCACTTTTCTGTGGCTTTTTTGGGATGCACCGCTGGTCTGCTGTCCTGACCCTCCACATGGTCTGCTGCTCTGACCCTTCACATGGTCTGCTGCCCTGACGCTCCACATGGTCTGCTGCTCTGACCCTTCACATGGTCTGCTGCTCTGACCCTCCACATGGTCTGCTGCTCTGACCCTCCACATGGTCTGCTGCTCTGACCCTTCACATGGTCTGCTGCCCTGACCCTCCACATGGTCTGCTGCTCTGACCCTTCACATGGTCTGCTGCTCTGACCCTCCACATGGTCTGCTGCTCTGACCCTCCACATGGTCTGCTGCTCTGACCCTCCACATGGTCTGCTGCTCTGACCCTTCACATGGTCTGCTGCTCTGACCCTTCACATGGTCTGCTGCTCTGACCCTCCACATGGTCTGCTGCTCTGACCCTCCACATGGTCTGCTGCTCTGACCCTCCACATGGTCTGCTGCTCTGACCCTTCACATGGTCTGCTGCTCTGACCCTTCACATGGTCTGCTGCTCTGACCCTCCACATGGTCTGCTGCTCTGACCCTCCACATGGTCTGCTGCTCTGACCCTTCACATGGTCTGCTGCTCTGACCCTCCACATGGTCTGCTGCCCTGACCCTCCACATGGTCTGCTGCCCTGACCCTCCACATGGTCTCTGTCAGTTCTGGAGACACATTTACTGCTCAAACTGCCTCCAAATGTAGCCTGACCCTGACTATATTCCTCCATGTCTGCTTCACCTCTGTCTCTCCTGCTCAGAGTGCTCAGAGTGATCTTTGACCAAGCCAGGGAGTTCTGCTGCCACCTGCTGGCTTAATAAAATACTGTCTACAGCCAAACCCCAGACTGTATGATACAGGGGACACAGACTGACAGGAAAAGATTTGAAAGAGTTGAAAAACAATGTTGATGTCAATTGAAATCAATGGCTGTCAATGAGTTAATCTCAATGAGACTTTCCTGGTTAAATCGAAAAAATAAAAAATAAACACAAAAAATATATTTGTCTTTTCTTTTCTTTTTTTTTTTTACAGTGATTCTTTGGCGTACCCCTAGAGGGCGCCTGTGTACCCCAGTTTGAGAAACACTGGTCTAGAGCAACAGAGTAAAGGATTCAAGTACAGAACTCTGCTCTTTTGCATTTCTGTCATTAAGATGAGATAAGAAAGACTTTATTGATCTCACACTGGAGAAATTAACATTATCCACATGAATATTAAAATCCCCTGTAATAACTAAACTATCAAAATCTGTGCATACAACTGAAAGCAACTCGGTAAATTTATCAATAAAACTGTGACATGACTGCGGTGGCTTGTATAGGACAATGAAGAGTATTGGAAGAGATTGTTTTTGTTCTAGTTTAAAAGACACATATTCAAATGACATTCCATGGGACACAAAGTGGTCTCTAAAAATTGCAGCTATGCCACCCCCCTTTTTGTTTTCCCGTATTTCAGACTCAAATTTGAAATTAGGTGACGCTTCTATTAAAACTCCATTTCTTGTATTTTGGTCAAGCCATGTTTCAGCCATGAACATGAGATCAAGATTATACAAATAAATTCAATTATTGATTAAAAAGGACTTGTTTCAAAGAGATCTGACATTAAACAAGTCAGTTAAGTTTCAGTGCCAGCGGTTATGGTCGATAGATTCTTAGACGGAACAAGAATTAGATTTTCCAAATTAGACTGACTAACTCCAGATGTCTTTCTGTTATGTTTTCTTTGTGTTATCACTTAAGCCTGGTTCACACGGCAGGATAATTAGGCCGATTTACCCCTAACGACAATCTAAAGAACGCTCAGATTTTTGTTAAAAAAGAATCTGATGGATTTTCCATGTGTGGTGTGTTAAGACTGCATCGCTCAGAAGGACTTCGGGACTGCTCCGATCTCAAATCGGGGATATCCAACATGTTGGATTGTTTTGGTCCGATTTCTCGGGCCAGACGAGCACGCTGCCAGTGGACTGCGGAGTGTAGCCAATCAGAAGGCGAGAAAACACAGTAAAAAAAATCCACAGTCGGCGGCGCACCATTTGACCATCGCCTTTTCTTTTGATTACACTTCTCTGTTAAAAACAAACTATTGCCACTACATCTTCTTCGTCCGCCATGATTATTTACTCTGAAGTCACGCTTGATCTCCAGAGATTTTGTGAGATTTCCGTCTGACCAGGGAATGCTCGGGGGGGATATCGGTTTGTATGTGATGTGTGTGGTTTGCATGATTTTGCCGTGCGGCTGCGCACCACACACTGTGCGACCAAAGTGGTTAGACCCTTGATTTTTTATCTCCGTGTGTGGGGTCTCTCAGGTTAGGAAAATCAGCCGACAATTTTTAAATCGTTTCGTGTGAAGCAGGCTTAAGGAAATTGCACAGGTGGCTTTATGACAGGGCCTGGGTCTCTCCCATAAATAGACAGAGCAGAGACCCTGTGCATCCTAGTGTTTAGAGAAAAGAGGGGCAGGGGAAAGCGGGGGAGGAGGATGGAGAGGTGGGTAGTTTTTGGGTATTGGATAAGGGGGAGGCAGGGGAGGAAGAGTTTTTGGTGATGGGTTAGGCAAGGGGCAAGAGGCCCTGGGTGTTGGACGAGGGGGTGGGGGAAGTGGATGTTACTAGCATGAGGTTCAGTGACAGAAAAGTGGCAGTAAAGTGACAGTTGACAGATGTGTCATTGTTAGACATTATTGCACAGATTAATGTGAGGCTCTTTGATCGTTAAAATAAACCATTCTTTCCATGACTTTAACATTATATGAGTGTATATACACCTATCTCTGGTACACTTGTCTCTGGTACATCTGTCTCTGGTACACCTATCTCTGGTACACCTGTCTCTGGTACATCTGTCTCTGGTACACCTGTCTCTGGTAAACCTGTCTCTGGTACATCTGTCTCTGGTACACCTGTCTCTGGTACACCTGTCTCTGGTACACCTGTCTCTGGTACACCTGTCTCTGGTACATCTGTCTCTGGTACACCTATCTCTGGTACACCTGTCTCTGGTACATCTATCTCTGGTACATCTGTCTCTGGTACATCTGTCTCTGGTACATCTGTCTCTGGTACATCTGTCTCTGGTACATCTGTCTCTGGTACATCTGTCTCTGGTACACCTGTCTCTGGTACATCTGTCTCTGGTACATCTGTCTCTGGTACATCTGTCTCTGGTACACCTGTCTCTGGTACACTTGTCTCTGGTACATCTGTCTCTGGTACATCTGTCTCTGGTACATCTGTCTCTGGTACACCTGTCTCTGGTACACTTGTCTCTGGTACATCTGTCTCTGGTACATCTGTCTCTGGTACATCTGTCTCTGGTACACCTGTCTCTGGTACATCTGTCTCTGGTACATCTGTCTCTGGTACATCTGTCCTGGTACATCTGTCTCTGGTACATCTGTCTCTGGTACATCTGTCTCTGGTACATCTGTCTCTGGTACACTGTCTCTGGTACATCTGTCTCTGGTACATCTGTCTCTGGTACATCTGTCTCTGGTACATCTGTCTCTGGTACATCTGTCTCTGGTACATCTGTCTCTGGTACATCTGTCTCTGGTACATCTGTCTCTGGTACACATCTGTCTCTGGTACACTGTCTCTGGTACATCTGTCTGGTACATCTGTCTCTGGTACACTTCTCTGGTACACCTGTCTCTGGTACATCTGTCTCTGGTACACTGTCTCTGGTACATCTGTCTCTGGTACATCTCTGGTACATCTCTCTGGTACATCTGTCTCTGGTACATCTGTCTCTGTACATCTGTCTCTGGTACACTCTGTTCTGTCTCTGGTACATCTGTCCCTGGTACACCTGTCTCTGGTACATCTGTCTCTGGT